TGCTGTATACAATAATTTCAGACCTTGCACGTTTAAAACAAATAGCTGGCGATTTACAGAAAACCTCAAAGAACAATATTATGCTTGCCGCTGTCGGAATATCGCGGAACTAAAATGATGCTTGGTTTCATGGCTTCACGTCAATTTCATTCGTAATATACAAACGAAAATTTTGAATACTCTTATACTAAAACCCCTCGTTTCTAAAAGCATAGGATTGTTCGTTTAGATTTTCCGCAATTCGTTAGCTACTTTTTATGAACGTGCAAGATTTGAAACTCTTATATGCAGCATATATTATGACGTGTAGACTACAGAATCCGATAACAAAACTGTAAATCTTCAATTTTCTTTCGTTTTTCGCATTCAATTGTAGCTGGCGAATTGCGTTGTTGTCAATACTTGAATTATGGGGATGCTAGATTGTCTTGTTTTACCATTAATTATTAAAAACTCTTTTTTCTTAATTGTGTTTATGGATTGAAAAATCCTTCTCCATAATTCAAATATCGACAACAACGCAATTCGCCAGCTACAATTGAATACGAAAAATGAAAGAAAATTGAAGATTTATAGTTTTGTTATCAGCTTCTGTAGTCAACACGTCACAATATGTACTGCATATAAAAGTTTCAGACCTTGCACGTTCAGTAAAAAGTAGTTGACGAATTGGAGAAAACCTGAAAGAACACTCCTATGTTTTTAAAAACGAGGTAGGGGTTTTAGTAAGAGAAAAGTCTCCGAAAATTTCGTAGAAAACCTGAAAGAATAATCCTATGCTTTTAGAAACAAGGGGTATTATAAAGGGTTTAGTATAAAAAAAAGAGTATCCAAAAATTTCGTTTGTATATTACGAGTGAAATTGACGTGAAGCCATGAGTATTTTAGCCAAGCAGTATTTTAGTTTCGCGATATTTCGATAGCGGCGCTGTCATGAAAAGTGCGTGAATTATAGAAATGATCTGAATTATCGACCTACTCAAGCCCATATCAATTGATATCAATAAACGTTCTTATGTGCTCCGATCAACGTTTTTTCTTTTGAGAGAAAAAATAATAATAAAATAAATATGATATTAGTTATTTCAATTTTGTTGAAATAATTTCTTCATAAACAAGGAACGTACTGTATTATTTACAAATGAAGATAATTATTAATATATTTTAATTGCATTGTCTTTTACATACATTTTATTTAGTAAATTATTGATTCATATATATAAAATAACATATATGTATATGTATGTATACATATATATATATATATAATATATATATATATATATATATTTATACAGGACCCCTTGTATATATTTTTACAGTTATTTTTCTTCATGACAACGCTCGGCCTCATGTCGCAAAAATCGTAAAAAAATTTTTGGAAACGCTCAAATTTGATGTTTTACCGCACCCGCTGTATTCTCCGGACATTGCTCTTTCTGATTACTGGTTGTTCCGAAGGATGCAGCACGATTTGGCAAGTCACCGGTTCACTTCTCCAAAATTGGATCGCCTCCAAAGACGAGTCATTTTTTCGAGATGGAATTCGAAAATTGCCTGAGAGATAGGAAAAAGTAGTAGTCAGTGATGGACAATACTTTAATTAATCTGTTCATTCATTTTGTTTTGAAATAAATGCATTTTTAAACACAAAAAAATGGACCGAACTAATTTGTACTCCCAATATAAACAAAAATAGTAGTATAACCAAAAAGTAGAACAAAAAATTATAACAAATGAAAAAATTAATGAAAAAAATTATGTAATTACAATAAGTGTTCAAATTGTAGTCTATTTTCTTGTAAGTACAATTCTGCTCTATGTAATAAATTTCTATTAGTTGCTCCTATAATGCTGTGACAGCAAATTTCTTCGCATGCTGTACGGATTCGCTGCTTTAAATGTTCCATATTTTGAATTTGGTATCGCGTAAACTATTTATTGCAAATGACCCCATAGAAAAAAATTTAGTAGTGATAAATCGGGGGATCCAGGTGGCCAAGGAATTGGTCCGTAAGTGCTCTACCAATGTTCTCCATATTTTGAATTTAGATATTGAACAATCCAAGCGTTATGAGATGGACAACCATCTTATTGGAAATAAATACGTTGCACAACGTTATTTGGAAGCACTTGCAACAATGTTGGAAGTTTAGAACAAAGAAAATTTAAGTAAGCTTGGACTGTCAAATTCTATTCATAAATGTAAGGTCCAGTCAGATGACCGTATACTATACTACATCAAACATTCACTGTAACTTTCTGTTGAAAATTATGTTCTCGGAACCAATGAGGATTATCCTTCAATCAAAAGTGATGATTAATTACACCATTATTTGAGAACTTACATTCATCTGTCCATATTCTGTAATATTATACATTTTCGACAAATTGAGACTGAATGTTTATGAATGAACTATGATTTGCTCTGACAACAAAGACTGAACACAAGAACTGTTGAAGCATTCGAGCTACGCTATATTACAAGTTATGTTGATATTTTTTCTACGTATATATTGGGTCATCTAAAAATCTTTCGACTAGTTATATGACCATCACCTCACATCTAGTCACAAAAAGCCGCGGATACTTTTTAGATGACCCAATATGAGGTGACTCTAAAGTCAAATCGGACTTGGCCCGTCATTCCTGTCGATCCTTAAGGGTACAATTACATGGAACACGTACGTGGTACAGTAACTAATAGTAACTAACTACATACCACACATCTACCGCCTATTTTTTCGCTGATATTACATGGAGCGCGGTTTGCGCGTAGTTTGCGGCACGGGCTAGTAACACACTCACATTATTATACACTGCTATGCTCTTTTTAATAGAATTAATTGATTTAAATGCAATTATTAAGTAAATCTGTTAAAAAAATAAGAGTATCGATAAAGTGTGTATAAAAATAAGTTAATATATTGAGTCATCTAAAAAGTATCCGCAGTTTTTTGTCACTAGATGGTGTTGATGGTCAACACCATCTAGTGATAAAAAACCGTGGATACTTTTTAGATGACCCAATATGTTAAAAAATTCATACTAATATGAGTTTGTCACTAGCCTACGCGCAAATCGCGCTCCATGTATTGTAATATCAGCGAAAGAAATAGGCGATACGTGATACACGATTTCCTAGTTAATTACTATTAGTTACTGTACCGCGTACCGCGTAGCGCGCTTTATGTAATCGCACCCTAAGAATTAACCGTGAGTTGTGGAACTTATGACTCCTGGACCTTATGACTTCTGCACACAGAACACGGGAACGCTTGCCGCGCAACGGAAATTGTTGCACTAGCCTATAATTCTATGTTCTTAAGTTGACCCCACTTTGCAAAACTTTTAGAAATGATATAATTCTACTTTCGTCGCGCGGCAAAAATTGGATTTATGACTCTTGCACACTGATGACTGAACGCGAAAACGCTTGCTACGTGGCAAAATGAGACGCGGTAACCAATGAACACATTGCTTAAGAGCTGTAAGCTTATTGGCTACAGCATCATTTTGCCGCGCGGCAAACGTCCAGTGTGCAGAAGCCATGAGTTCAACTTTTGTCGCGCGGTGGAAATGATATATCTATTACTTCCGAGTAAGCGAGATGTTGATTGGCTGTCGCGCCAATTTCCGCCGCGCGGCAAGCGTTGCCGTGTTCTGTGTGCACGAGCCATTACTCTTCGTCTTTTTCTAGTTCTAAAGATTAGAAAAGATTAAAGTTAATCTATAATAGTGGAAATGGGCATAAAGCTAGTCACATACTTTCCGTAACAGTAAACATAATATAGATTTTCGACCAATTGCGTTGCTCGATTCGATCGTCCATAACCGTAACCGTAACAATCAAGCAACGCCGACTAGAGTTACGTTCCAAAACTTCCTCTCCGAGGAAGATTTTATATGCTATAGTATACTATATTGTTACATGTACTATATTACGTGTACAAAATATATTTCAAGTAAAATTTTCCTCAAAGAGAAAGTTTTGGAACGTAGCCCTAATCGGTCGATTAAAGTTAATCACACACACTTTCCGTAACAGTAACAGTAAAGTTTTCGACCAATCGTGTAGGTTAATCGGAGTTGATAAGACCGGCTCTAAGGGTGAAATCACACGGCGGAAAACGATTATGGAAGAGAATGCGTCATTGAAGTAATTAATCAGCGCTATTTCGCACTTTTCCATCACGCAAGTTTTATGTACTATGTTCATGATGTGTCAAAGATGTATCCAACATGAATATAATTTAAAAACTATTAATTTTATGTTAATAATTTGCTTATTAAAATAAAATTTTTTAATTTTTCAAATTGTAAAAACAATTATCACTGTTGTAGTATTTAATGTTTTACAATTAATATTTACAATTTCATGACAATTTTTTTAACTGCTTTAACGCATTTACTGTCATTTTTCTGCATTGTGTGAACATAGCACACAAACTGGCATGATGGAAAATGCGGAAAAATGCACACTGAAATTGCACGTAATGCATCATTGTTTTTTTTATCTTGGTATCTATATTTATGCACTGAGATTTTGTCATTTTGCTTCATTCATCTCGACATTATGCAATTCCATCATATCAATCAACATCAAATTATTTTAATCTCTGAAAATATGACTTTATTACAAGAACAATGACGCATTCGCTATTCCGCAATATCAAATGCGGAATAGCGCTGAGTGGTTGTTTCAATGACGCATTTTTCATTTCGCAGTCTTATTCCGCACTGTGTGATTTTACCCTTAAACACAATGCGAAAGACTAGTGATAAGAATAACGATTTCCCGTTATATCCTATCCTTTCCCCTATCATATCCTGATAACCTATCAGAAAGTGTATGTTCCACTGTAACTGATTTCTGATTGGTTGAAATCGTGTTATTCCTATCGCTATCGCTATTTCGCATTATGTTTAAGGCTTATCGCATATGAAAAGGGAAATACTATAATATGCGTTACATATACTATAGCATTTCTTTAGTTTTTCGTATGCAAACTTTTCAAGAATAGAACCTTAGTAGGCATTTGGTCTGCTTTCTATTCCTGTACTAGACTGCACTAGAAGTCTCTTTCTTGCTTTCGACAAATATCAAAACAAATATACTTATTTCATTTTAAATTCCAAAAGTGTACACTGGTTTAGCATAGAAAAGAGATCTATTAAGTTTTCCTGACGCGAAAAGGGGCGTGGTTTTCAAGTTCTGAACACACTGTTACTTCCATCAAGCTTGCAACACTGGCCGTTACTGTAGACTTTTATCTTATCGATTTGAGTGAGTGAAAAGTTCTGCACAGTTAAAGAAATAGGAAATAGAGATACGAATTTTAACCTATCAGGAATTGTGTATATTCTACAATATGGTTTTTGATAAATTGAAATTCTTATAAAATTCTTATTCTGTTCCCTATTTGTTTGATTATACGCAATCGTTGAAAATTAGCATTGACCTATTTATTTATTGAAAGAAAGATCAACATTACTTGAACATAATTTTGCAGTGGCAAATAAAAACCTTGAACTATATTTTTATCACTGTTTTGCATTATATACATATGCTAATTGAAGTATAATTGAGAAAGAAAATCACAAATTGTTATAACAAAATATGGCTACCATGGGTGAGCCTCTCACTTTAGCAAGAGGTAAGTTTTTACTATCAGTTGTACAAGTTGATACAAATATGCTATTACAATATACAAATGACATTTAATGATTATTGTAGAAATTATACTGAAATTACATGAAATTTTATCTTTTGTAGATATCAAAAGATCTATAGAATTATTAGATAAACTACAGAAAGGTAAGCAATTGTAGAACAAAATATTTTATGTATTTTAACAATTATTTAATTCTATAAGATTAATTTTATTTAGGAGGAGAGGTTCCTACAACAAAATTAGCAGCATTACAGAAGGTATTACAAAGTGATTTTCTTAGTGCAGTACGGGAAGTATATGAGCATGTTTACGAGACTGTCGATATTCAGGTAGGAATATAAGCAATAGATAACTAATTTTTAATATTTGTTATTAATAGTCATAGGTAATTATGAAGGAGATGGGCTCACTCATTGATTTTGATGAAATTATTTATTTGATGTATTTTTGTACAAAATGAACAAATCTGAAAGAAAAAAAGAGTTGCTTTGTCCCGTGAATTAAGATATTATAAACGTTAAGCTAAATTTACAATAAGTCGGTAGTCCTAAGTCTTATCGGTGAAATTGGCAACAACAAACTTGTATGACTAAGATTACTGATTTTCTTAAGACCAAATTCGACTTTATTCCTTTCCATTAGTCGAGTTAAACAGCTCACTGTATAACTAATAACTAGTAGATGCGAAAACTCATAGTCATCTATTTAGGTTAAAACTAGTTAAGACTTAAGATTTCTGATTGTAGAATCAGCATTAAAATTAACGATTATTAAGGTTAGAAACCTTCTCATATCAATGACATAGAGAATCACACAATTTCTTTGTTTTATAAACATAAATTTTCTACTTAAAAAATAAATCCTCTGCTTTAAGAATATAAATTTTCTGCTTTAAAAAAACATTTTCTGTTTAATTTTTGTTTTTACAGCAGAGAATGTTTTAAAGCAGAGAATTTTTAAAACAAAGATAAATACCCAAATTTTTTAAAATTAAATCGCTTTGCGTGCATTCGAAATCTATGTGAAACTGTGCTTTGCATGGAAAGTTGTAAACCCATGGTGAACAATTCCATATGAATTTACAACTTTTCGTACATAGCATGAGCATGAAAGTAGGCTTTCATTTTGAGTGAAAACGAATGAGTCTAATTTCGTTAAATTAGAAGATGAGGTAGCGATTCTAAATAAATACCCCCTCCTCCCCGACCAAAGTACATGTATAGTCAGGGCCTAAAAGGTTGCAACACTTTTTAAATGAGTTTCAGAATGCAGTCTATTCACCAAGCGATTCTTACTTATGGATCCATAAGTAATAACAAAAGTTAAAAAAAAAGTGTTGCTTTTAGACCCTGACTGTACATATATATATAGCGCTGCATTAACCCTTAAGGATGTTCTGGCTATACATTTCCAGACAGAAGTTACTCAAATTTAAAATGATGAAATTCTATACTTTTATAAATTAACCTTTTTTAGTACCTTTTTACATCTTACTTTTTGGCATCCTTATTACACACGTTCGGTCATTCGTGTCCTGGATTAATTTTCATCACTTTTACAAGTATATATAAATTATTAAACGATTTTTACATATATTTTGACATCTTTAGAAAGTATTTGTACAGTTATATATTCATAACAAATTGCAGATAAATTGTTATAATTAAATATAGTTAACAAAATGAGAAAAATGTAATGTTTCATATAAAAATGTAAAACTCTGAAACAAAAATGTTTAAAGGAAAAATATAGTCCAATATCTTAAAATTGATATTCCAAACTACAAAAAAAAAATAGTTCAAGTGTCGGCTGTCCAAAAAGTTTAGTTATTGAGTAACCTGGTATTTTTTTAATATGCATGAATGGTTATAAATTGAAGATATATTGCATTTTTGTTCAATTTTTGAATGAAAAAACCGCGGATACTTTTTAAATGACCCAATATTTTAAACAATTCATTTTACTATCGCTATTGTGTTAAAAAAACTTATTGTTTATTAGGAAAATGTTCTTTATAACATTACAGATACAATAATAAGTAATATTACTGACAACATTTAACACAAGCAGGGTACCAAAAATCATGTTTATTAAGGGCTAATATGTTGTTTTAGAGTTAAATTCTTTTTTCAATAATTCATGAAATATTTCCGCAATACAACCGAGAATTAGTTGAAAGTAAAGAAAAAAATAAAAATTTTTTAATTACAAAAAATGTACACTCTGTACACACATTGGGTCATTTGTGACCCTGAGGTTTGGAGTTATACTAGTTAGGATGTGCACAAATTGAGGCCGACAATGCACAAAATTTATTCTCTAGATGCCAAACTTTTTTTAGGAATGAAAAAGAGACCAATATTTGACCAGGTGCTCTTAATATTTTAAATAAAAGAAATGCACAGGATACGAATGACCTAGAGATGTGTATTAAGGATTAAAATATACATATCGTATAGAACCTAAATAATGTAAGTTAATGTGACATTTGGCATTATAAATGAGTATATTATTTTTGTAATCGTCAGTAAAAATTTTTGGAAACTTGAATTTTCTTTGAAATCAATTATAAGAAAAATGTGCCGCATATTAATAATATTTAATATATATCAGATATCATATGGTACTTAAAAATCAGAAAGATACGTAAACTAATCTTCATACTATTGATACTTTTGAGTTGCTACGTTTTAAGCAGTTGAAGTGAGGTTATGTAGCCCATTCGGAATTTTGCTTTATCGTTAAGGGTGTAATCATACGGTGCAGAAAACGACGACTGTGGAATAGAGAATGCGTCATGGAAGCAACCAATCAGTGTTATTCTGCGTTATTCCGAATAGCTAATTGGTTGCTTCAATGACACATTTTCTATTCCGCAGCTCTTTTCCGCACCGTGTGATTTCACTCTAATATGTAATAATAACGTGTTAGTAAATCATATGAATTTTTTTTTAGGAATGTTCAATATTTTATTTGTTTCAGAATATTGGCAATGTTGCTTCTTTATAATTTTATTGATATAAATGAGAATATATGCTGCTGCTCGATGGAAATAAATCGCTAAAATCTATATCAGTTGATCTATTTTAGTATAATTCATACTAAATTCATACTGATTTAAGCGATTTACTTTCACCAGGGATACTCCATAAGAATTCATGTAAAATTAAATTGAATAACTTGTGAATTAGATAGAGAATCGACTTCAGATTTTACATATGTCTTCAGATAATAAATAGAATCAATTTATTAAATTTTCGAATTATTGTCAATGTTAGAATGTTAGCGCCAGTACATCCTTAATCGGACGCGCCGCAGCACTGAGTGCCACAAAATTTGTTTTTCTGAAAAAAAAAAAAATCATTGATAATGCAAGTCTTTTTATTACCGACCTTCGCTATTCCTTGTTTAACGTTAAATTTTAATATTATATTTTATTATAAATATATTTTACTTTAATAACGATTATTAAATTATTTATGCAATTATCATAACTCCTAAATAATAAATGGTAATTATTTAGAATATGGATCCTTCCCTAAAATCTTAATAAAAATGTACTTATTCGATTTATTTTCACTCAAAATGAAATCTAATAAAAAAAAACGCGGCCTTGTGAGTTATTAAATGTTAAAGTTCGAAGCTTTAAAGGTTAAGATATCTGTTATCCCAACTCGATAGTAGATTATGTATACGTTCTATTTTAATTCTTTGCTTTACAAACACAAATTCATTACTTTAAAAACAAAAATTTACTGTTTTAAGTACACAATTTCTTTGCATTAGTTAATTTGTGTTTTTAAAGCAGTGAATTTGTGTTTGTGAAATAGAGATTTATGTAATTAATGCAGAATGTATACTGTCAGAAATATAACTACGAGCTTCCTTTATATGTAAATGAAGCTCGTGGTTACAAACGAAATTAATGAATGATTTAACTGAAAATTACGTTACAGTAATTATTTAGGCTGTGGTCCGATTCACGCCCACAGCGCTCACAATTCTCACGATGTCAATGATTGGTCTGATTCATTATCGCGCTATCAATGATTTTATTTTGGACCGCTTGTTGGTGTGGATCACGAGGTCCATAACCTGTATATCATCAATAATGGATCTTATTCAATATAAAGCTGTGTTATTACATTTGATGGAAATTGTATTCGAGGATTCAGAGAATGACGGTGAAAACTTAAATCTTATAAATGTTATAACCAATCGATGTTATAACCTCGATCCAATCAATCATATTTAATTATTGAAACAATTAATAGTATTAATTATTATGTAATATTATTATCAATTACATTTATTATAATTATTTTTAGCGATTAGTAAGCGATTATATTACCTGGATGCATCTATTCCACATTCACAATATTAGTCCTCTTTTCCCGCGCAAATAAAGCGGACGCTCACGCCGACTTATCTCCGGATCGTGATCACCGTGAGCATGCGAATTTAAAAATCCATCACATTATTTTGCTCATGCAAAACGTTCAAGGAATGAATCGGTCGACCATGTGTGCGCTGTAAGCGTGAATCGGACCGCGACGTTAAATGTAATGAACGTGAACATTAAATTTCATAAATTTTCATGAAAAATACATTAAATTTCATGTATACATATATAAAAATATATTTTTCAATTGTAAATACATTAAATTTAATGTAATGTCGTGAAATCGAGTTCAAATTGTGTAACTTAAAAGTATATTAAATTTCATGGAATTTTTAACAGTGTAGCATTATATTGAATGGAGATGACAGATATCTTGTCCGGACCTACAATAAGTGCTTTAAGCCTTAAGCCGTAAGAAATTGACCAACTAGGGTCGAATGCGAGGAGAATAAATGATTGTGATTCGTCCATTCCTTACGACTTAAGGTTTAAAAATCTATTATAGATTTGGGATAGCAACAGAGACTTTTGCATAACGCATAGTGCATAAGCAAATCAACTAATCAGAATCTTTTCTTTCCTCACATTGGAAAAGAAGAATTTTGATTGATTGATTCCTTACTATGCGTTATGCAAGAGTCTGTGCTGCGATCATTAACCTCTAAACATATAAGATAACCCATATAAGATAACCCATAAACACATAAGATAGATTAGCATTTAACTATTGGCGAATTCAGCACACATGCACTGATTCTGCTCTAGTGTTGTCCTGACATGGTGTGAACGCAAAACTATTTTAGTGTTCTGCCAAATTGCACTATCAGAAACAATGCAACATTTTTTGACCATTGACAACATAGCAGACAAATTGAATATTTCTGATTTGTTTATGTCTATATAATTTGGGAATCGTTTGGGGAAAGC